CATTTGTGATTGAATCCACTAAAATTATAAATTGTTGCCATGTGTGTGATCAATAATTAAAGTTCACTTTTTAAAAAGAAAATATTTTATTGTCGTCTTCCACAAAATAAATTTGGGTGTTTTGGTTGCTTTCACACTTTTTTTTGGACTTCCATACTATGAATGTGTTAAAGTATTAACATTACCTATGATGAAGAATTATAATTAGAGGGGTAATTAGTCAGAAGAATTATAATTAGAGGGGTAATTAGTCAAAGTTTGAGTAGTCTGCGAGTTAATTACTTAGATACATGTTAAATTGTAATATTATTAGTCTTACGAGATTTTGGTGTGCTTCCAAATATGTTTATATACATGTATCTTGGGATACATGAGCTCAATATTAGGTGTAATTTAATCTAGATACATTGTATTCAAATAGATTCGTATGTATATGGGATACATAGACAAATCTCGCTCGCCTCCTTCTCATTTCGATCACCTCATTCCCATCTTGCTCGCCTCTCATATCACGCTCGCATACCTGGACTCCCAAATACATGCGAAATACACTAGATATATGTATCTAGTGTTATTTTGTGTGATTCACCGTGTATCTAGGATAGATAAACAAATTTCGCTAGCCTCCCTCTTGTTCTCATTCTCCTATATCCCTATTCCAGTGTATCTAATAGCAAAAATATATCTATGTATATCTGACTTGAAATAATTTAAATATCTTATTTTTTCCATTTTAATTTAAATATCTTAATTTTATAAAACATTATTTAACTAACTAACTCTTTATCTCAATTCTATATTAACTTAGTCAACTCAAATAATGAAACAAAATTCCATTAATTATGAGATGTCCCATCTGAAAACAAACCAAGTTTATGTAATTGTTGCTCTCCACAAAGGAAATTTATGCTAAGTATCAACATGTGACATGTCGCTAAATATTTTTATTTATTATTATTGTTAAATATATTTCAACGATAATTATATAATTATCACAATTTTGATGGTAATACCCATAACATTATTTTCTACATATAGGATGAATGTGTTAATTTGTTCAGTTTTATACAAATTTAAATACTTATTTGTGCACACTCAAAATTAAAAATATAAATATTATATTAATGTCACAATAGTAATTATGTTAAATATAATTACTTATGTTAAATATAATGCAATAGTAATGATACGTATCACCCTATAACATTATTTTCATATGAATGTGTTAATTTGTTTAATTTTAAACAAGTTTAAATATTTATTTGTCCACACTCAAAATTTTTAAAATATAAAAATTAATTGAAATCAAGTTAAAAAAAATACGTTTATGTATTATGCCATAAAATAATGCGCCATTTCCCAATTGGAATTGCAAAACAATGCTTAAGTTTCCGAATTCCAATTCCCAATTGGAATCAACTTATAAGCACCCTTACTTATCATATAATTATTGATTATTTATTTATTCATCAAATTTTAAATTTATTATATATGGAAAGTTTTTGCATTACTTTTGTATTAGGGTGATTTTAGGTAACTAATTTTGAAATATAACGAAAGTTTTTGCATTTATATTTCCCAATTCTTTTTAAATTTGGTTTCCATTACAGTCTTTATACAAACAAACTTATATATAAGGCATCATTCTATACAGTTTTACAAATTAGAAATAAAATAAAATAGAAAAAGTGGACTTTACGTTTGCATTACGGTTAGTTTGACATATTAGAAAACTCTTTTTTATCCCAATTCCCTCTAAATTTTGATTTCCATTTACGTACCGCTTTTACAGTTCTATGCTATACAACCCAATTACCAAAGACTACTAATCATTCTGTACCATTTTCTAAAACACAACATAAAGTTAGTTTAACAAGAATTATGAGGATGACAAAAATCAGTCATGATTCTCCAGATTCAGAATTAGGAGTCAGATTTTTACCCACGGATGAACAACTTATTAGCTATCTAATAAAATTTGTTGCTTCTAACAATTTCGTTTGTAATGATATTCAATTTGAAGATCTTTTTGAGAGTAAGAAGCCATGGGAGTTAATGGAAGCAGGTACTAAATATTTCTTTACTCAATTAAAGAAGTTAGAACCAAACCATAAAAGGTTTATTCGGACTTTGGTTGGAGGAGGAAGTTGGAAAGGGCAGGACAAAGGAAAACCGGTAGGTGCAAAGAAATTTGGGATAAAAAAAACTTATAGCTATGAAGAAAATAAAAAGGATGGTAAGGATAAAGTTAATAATGGTTCTTGGATTATGAAAGAGTATAGTCTTGACGACAAGGTAATAAAGTAGTTAAGAAATAGAGGTATAATGAAGCACGAGGATGTTGTTTTGTGCTACATTAGGAGGAAAGTTACAGATAAAGAATCAAGACGTGGAAATGACGATGATGATGATACACAACCCCAGGGACCTAATGCATCTGGATATGGTGATCAACTTCCTCAACAGATGGTGAAGCCAATGCAAAATATTGAATCACGATATGTTGGATGTGATGATGAGTTGATGAACGATATGATAACACAACCCCAGTGGCCTATCTGCAATTATCAACTTTCTCAGCTAATCGTCACGTGTCCAATGGTTGAAGGAAATAGTAATGGTGAATTAGTTGTTCCTGAGCAATTGTCAACATATCAGGAAGAGCAAGTGCAGAATGTTGAAGAGGCAACAGGTAATGCATCATCAGATTATCAAGTTGACCCAACATTCACTGGTGTTTTAAACAACGATGAGTGTTTATTAATAGATGAATTAGGTGATTTTGATGAGTTTATGGGAGAAAACCAGGAATGGCTATCTGAGTTGGTTTCTTAGTCTAATTCTAGTAAAATATATATAGGTAGTTTTGATTACACAAATATAGATGTAAGTGAAATTGTTTCATATAATCAAATCAATGAATATACTTTTATTTCTTAATCTCTACTTATCTGCTTGCTAGCACTGTTCAGGTTAAAGTTTGAAAAGAAACTTAAATTTCTTGTTTGCAATTAATGTTAAGTCTCTGCTCAATCTCAGACCTTCAGATCATGTAGAAATACAAACCGTTTGAAATTCACTGTTGTTAGCGTAGTCTAGTGATCAAAATAGTTAAACTATGTATATTGTCTGAGGTTGTAATTTCGATTTTCATATTAGAGAGAGTCAGGAGGTTAGATGGGAAGGGTAAAAGCCAGAAAACAGTTGTTGATATGGTTTGTGATATGTATCATTTTGTAGCAAACCAGTGATCATAGCAGGGAATGTTTTCGATGAAAATCTCAAGCAAGCAATAGATTTCGATGCAGTTGTAAAGGCAATCAGGAAAGATACAACTAAGATTAGTACTGGAACTTTCAGTAATGTGAATAGAGCAGACATGCCTTCCGGGATGATTTTGTATGTTAAGAGCCTAAAGTCGATGGACAAGACTATAGTTCATCACCAGAGCAAGATGATCAGAGAGCTTGAAAAGCTAAGTAAACTCTGTCATGATAATCTGACAAGGCCTATCGGGTTTGCAATCTATGAGGATGTTGTTCTACTCTTACATCAATACTATCCCAATGGGACATTGGCTCAGTTTCTTCATGAGTTTAGCCAGAAACCTGAGTACGAACCTGACTGGCCTACAAGACTTTCCATTGCCATTGGCGTTGCAGAAGGGTTAGCGTTCCTTCATCACGTGGCCATAATCCATCTTGATGTTTCTTCAGGGAATGTGTTTCTTGATTCTAAATTCACCCCTTTGGTTGCTGAAGTTGAAATATCCCGACTTCTTGATCCATCTAGAGGGACTGCAAGTATTAGTGCTGTTGCTGGCTCATTTGGATACATTCCCCCAGGTATATTCATATTGCTTGAAAGACTTGGCTAATCATTTTACTACCTCGTGTTTCAATTTGTTTGTCTTACTTTCCTTTTTAGTCTGTCTAAAAAAAATGTCTTCCCTTTCTTGGTAACTCTTTAATTTTAACTTTCCACCTAACATCTTTTAAGACCACGGGCATTTTGTGATAGAAATGCTTCAAGAGGTTACATAGAGTTGAATCAAAACTCGTATCATCCAAAAGTTTCTGCTTAATCACAGACCTTCAGATCATGAAAACCCCTGTAGAAATACAAAACGGTACGAAATTCATTGTTCTTAGCCTTGATTAATAGTGGTCAAAATAGTTAAACTATGTATATTGTCTGAGGTTGCTGTTCTTCTCTGATGATCAGCTCCGAGGTTATAATTTCGATTTTCATATTAGAGCGAGTAAGGAGGTTATATGGGAAGGGTTAAAACCAGAAACAGTTGTTGATATGTACCATTATGTACAAGGCCTTCAATCATATATACTTCTTTTTTCTTGTCCATGTGTAAATGGAGGTTTGGCATTTCATATGCAACATTAAAATCTTTATGTATATATAATATACCGTAGATGTTGAATCCTCTTGGTGAAAATCTTGTCTTCGCCACTGCATTGGGCCCTTCGCAATAATACCATTGGAGTAGGGAACATATTGAGAGGTTTTTCATCCTGCTGCAGCTTCTGGTGTGTGTAGATTATAAAAACAACACTAAGCTAACACTCTCAACGGATAGCTGATTCCCAATTGGAATCAACTTATAAGTACCCTCACTTATCATATAAAATTATTGATTATACATCAAATTTTATTTAAATTTATTATATAAGGAAAGTTTTTGCATTACGTTTGTATTAGGGTGATTTTAAGTAACTAATTTTGAAATATAAGGTAAGTTTTTTGCATTTACATTTCCCAATTCTTCTTAAATTTGGTTCCCTTTATACAAACAAACTTATATTTAAGGCATCATTCTATACAGTAAGTAACTGATTTTATATAAGGAAACTTTTTTTGATTTCCACTTGCCGCCTTTACACTTGTATTCTATATAAACCCAATTACCAAAGACTACTCATCATTCTATAACCTTCTCTACAACACAACATAAAGTTTTTTTCTACTCTCTTCACTACAGAATTATGAGCATCACCCATGATTCTCCAATGTCAAAATTAGGAGTCAGGTTTCGACCCACTGATGACCAACTTATTCGCTATCTAATAAAATTTGTTGCTTCTAACAATTATGTTTGCAACGATATTCAATTTGAAGATCTTTATGGGAGTAAAAAGCCATGGGAGTTATTGAAAGGCTCATCAGATACTAAATATTTCTTTACTCAATTAAAGAAGTTAAAATCGGACCATACAAGGTTTATTCGGACTTTGGTTGGAGTAGGAAGTTGGAAAGGGAAGGCTAAAGGAAAACCGGTAGGGGCAAAGAAAGTTGGGATCAAAAGAAGTTATAACTATGAAGAAAATAAAAAGGATAATGAGGATGAAGTTAATGATGTTTCTTGGATTATGAAAGAGTATAGTCTTGACGACAAAGTAATAAAGTTGTTAAGAAATAGAGGTATAATGAAGCACAAGGATGTTGTTTTGTGCTACACTAGGTGTAAAGTTAAAGAATCAGGAAATCATATGCCTACAACAACTGCCAATGAAAATGACGATGATACACAACCCCAGGGGCCTATCTGCACTGGTGAATCAGTAAATCATATGCCTACAACAACTGCCCGTAGAAACGATGATGATGATGATATACAACCCTAGGGGCCTAATGAATCTGGATATGGTGATCAACTTCCTCAACAGATGGTGAAGCCATTGCAAAATATTGAATCAGGATATGTTGGATGTGATGATGAGAAGATGAACGATATGACAACACAACCCCAGTGGCCTAACTATAATAGTATTCAGTCATTGCTATTAGGAGACTATAATGATCCATCAACATTGACTAATGAGATGATGAACATCACTGCAACACAATATACTTCTGTTGATGATTTTTTAAACAGCAGCCAAAGCTTCTCGTCGTTACTGGGATGATCTAATTTGTATGCAGTTGATACTAGAAAATATGCATTGTTTTGATTTATGTGTAATGTATTTAATGAGAGAACTAAACTCTTAACTTTCATTCCTCTCTTTATTCAAAAGAAAAAGATTTTGATGTATACTAATTCCTTATGTTTTGGCATCTCTTTTTGATTGATTTAAACTTCTTCCCTCTCTGTTTATATATGTAAAATAGGCTAAAAGTTATACGCAACCTGAGGCAATTACAACATCATACCTCATATAATTCCACAAGTAGGGTCCAGGGAATGATTGAGTATATACAGACATTAACAAATAAAGAATTTGAATCTGAAATGTTTGTATCATTAAATAACTGGTATCCATAACTGAACAATTGAAGCATACGATGCCAACCTATATACAACCACAATAATCACCTTATCTATCCTTCACCATATTTCCTCGGATCGTCCAAATGAAAAACAAAAAGAAAATAACACAACATGATTACAACTCAAAGAACACATGAATGTTCTAGTCCCCAAGTTAATCGATCCACCCACAGAAGAAAAATTACAGAGACGAAATAAAAAAATGGCAGATCGATAGATGAACAGGAAAGAAGGGACGAATTTAGAAAAGCCAAAAGCTGAGTTCTAGTACTCGAGATGTTACTTAACTAGCTTTGTAAGGATCCATCCTTCATCAGTTTCAAACTGAGACTATTATATCGTTCTCGTGAATACTGTCTTGACGCCTTCCTCCAATCTGTTCCAGCCTTCATCATAGTAGAGAATTCATCGTAACTTATCCGTCCATCCTGAAAGAGAATGAAACGTAAGCATATAATCAATGCATGACAACATCGTTTTCTTTTTCCCAATTCCAGGTTCATAGAATCAACGGGATAAGAATAATACACAAGGAACCAGACATATAACACACAGAATATAAAATATATTACTGACCTTGTCAGTGTCTACATCTTGCATAATAGCATTGATAACTTCTTCGCTGTTGGTTTCAATCTCGTCATCTAAGGCTTCCCTTAATTCTTCAATCTCTATATATCCATTTTGATTCCTATCAAAAAAATCGAACGCCTTCTTCAGGTGCTCCTCATTTGCCATCTTTCTTAGATGGACTGAAATTGCTACAAATTCCCCGTAGTCCAAAAATCCATCTTTATCGACATCACCCTGTGAAAATATCACTGATTAGTTTCCTTTGTTCCTCCCAAGTAACATTATAATGCCGTGGCTAGTATTCTAATGTAGTTATACAAGTCAATTTTTAGATAAGATCCAGATGCCTGGCAATGGGGCATGGAGGGGGAAGTTATCAATAATCGAAGGAATATGCCATTTAACTACTTTGACTGGGTGCGGGGAGCCTAACAGCAGCAGTAGAATATTGATTTATTTTTGTCTATTTTATTGTTTTGAGATGGTTCAAGCATTCAACTAGGTAGTATAAGAGGACCACAAGTGAAATACAACACACAGAATTCGATACTTACAACATCCATAAGAATTTGTACATCAGATTCAGGAATTTGATGGCCAAGTTTCTGCAACCCAACTCTCAACTCGTTAACGTCAATCTTCCCTCTGTTACCTATATCCATCAATTGGAATCCCTCCTTTATTCCAGCCACTTCGTCCACTGTCAAATGCTCAGCAATCACCTGTGCGGTAGAAAGGCAATTAATTGAAGAAAATTCAACCCAAGACTAGTAGCTGTTACGAGAAAAACATTCACAGTAAAGAAAAGAAGAAACATTATTCTCAGAGTTGGAATCGCACCCTTAAAGCTCTTTTCTTTAGCTTGTTCATCATAGAGAATTGCTTGAGCCTTGCTTTCACTGTTTCACCCAAAGAAACATTTGGAGCCTTCTTTGCATTTTGTATCCAGGGATGATCTATAAGCAGTCAGAGCAGAAACGTTAAGCTTTGACAAGGAATAATGAATTTTCACATGGTTTACGAAGTAAATGAAGAAAACTCTTTTAGCCAGTGCTTTACCTAGAACTTCTTGAGCAGTAAGCCTCTTGCTAGGATCAGGGTTAAGCATCTTCTTCACAAGGTCTTTCGCATTGTCGGAGACCTTAGGCCAAGGGTCCCTTTTAAAATTTACAGCAGAACGAATGATCGCTTGAGCAACTCCTTGTTCAGTTTCTGCAATGATAGAATTTTTTTTAATATAAACACCATGCTGACCATAACAAAAACCAGTGCTAGTATTTAACAGTTGATTGATAAAATAATATAGCAGCTAGATAACCTTCTTCCTTCCGACAGTTATTCTGGAGTATAAACTAAATAAAAGAGAGTAAAATTGACTTGCCAATCCGTTTGCTTGGAAACAGATTATTAGGAGCACCAATTAAGATACCAAAAGAAACTTCCATAAAAATTTCTTTTACCAGTAATGCTTATTTGAGAATGCTATAAGATGGAGCAGGCTATTTTGGAAGTTCAGAGTATCAATTTCGAGGGCAAGGATCAATATGGACAAATTAGAGCAAGTCGAGATGCATTTACTCGAGTCATTGTCAATTTGTAAATACCATGTATCCTGGTCTAAATTTTTTTAAAAGAATCGCAATACACAAAAATAATACTCCATATAATCATCACTACTAATAGTTTTGTCTCTTTTACTATAAGATTCTCATTTTTTGACAACTGCTCCTCAGAGACAAGATTGTAGGTGATCAAGAATTACTTCCCTTGATAATTATTATAAGCAACAAGAGAATATGGATAAAGAGTTTGCATCACCAAATAGTCTGGTGAAGTAGCAACATGCAAGATATTTGTAATGTGAATCACCAATAACTAGCCCTTCAAGGGCAAGGACACTAACCTGCCCAAAATGGCGGAACACCACATAGCAAGATGTAGAGAATTACTCCAGCACTCCACACATCTACTTCTGGACCATAGTCTCTCTTCAGCACCTCGGGCGCCATGTAGTACGGACTTCCCACAATTTCGTTAAATCTCTCACCTGTAAAACCAATATGACAAACTAAACGGTGAATATAACGTTCAAGTATTCAAAAGCAGCGAGATACAAAAATATTAGGAAATTTACCAGGCTTAAAGAATACTGAGAGACCAAAATCAATTGCCTTCAATGGTGCTGTCTCTTTCTTGTTTTCAAACAAGAAATTTTCAGGTTTGAGGTCACGATGCATAACTCCATGCTTATGGCACATCTGTAACCCAAACAAAAAGAGAAGTAATTAAATATCAAATAACCAACCAGCCATAATTGGAAATTATTTAAACATATGTGAATTTTGCATCTTGTCAAGCAGTTAATATCTTTCCTTTTAAAGGTCTCAGATAGTTGATCTCAGTTTATTGAAAAATGACAAAATCTCTGAGACAAATGGTGCAAAGAGAACATACACCAATTACTCCACAAAAGGGTCGTTTTCCCCAATGTTGAATTGGACTACACAGTGTGTCACACCATCCAATTGACTGGGAAACGATAAGTTTAGAGCTTACTTGGTATCAGACCAAAAAGATCTATGAGAAAATGTCCATGCAATCTCACTCCTTTATTAGTTTAACAAATCCTAATTGCCAACAAGTTAGTTCCCTTTATAGAAAGCTGATCTACTTAGCATGACAATGGCATTCTCATTCCTCTACGTTATTCAACACATTCTTATATCACTAGCACCTTAAAGCTTATTAAACAATCATGGCAATTCATTAAGCTGTTGTGACGATTCTCCCATTCTACTTTACTAACATAAATTTCAAATCTAAATAACACAATTAAGAGTAGATCATTAAATAACTAAGGATTAACACAGCTTTAAAAACAAGTCTTCACCTGAATCACTTCAACAATTGTGCGAGTCACAGCAGCTGCTGCCCTCTCAGTATAATGCCCCCTTGCAACGATCCGATCAAATAGCTCACCACCCTCACACAGCTCCATAACTATATGCACTGCATTATCATCCTCATAAGTATCCTTTAAGGTGACAATATTAGGATGCTTAGGCAAATGCTTCATGATCTCAACTTCTCTCCTTACATCCTCGATATCCACTCGAGTCCTAAGTTTCTTCTTTGATATTGATTTACAAGCATACACATCTCCACTTACTTTGTCAGTAGATAAATATGTAACCCCAAATTCACCTCGACCAAGCTCACGCCCTAACTCATACGTTGCCTCAATATCAGTACCAGTTGGATTATCCAACACATAAGACTTATGTCCATTCCCATTCCCATAATCAACAGAAAATGGGTTTGGCTTATTCTTCCCCCTTTTCTTCTCCTCTGTTTCTGAAGTTTTTGGTGCTGCACAACAATTACCCATTGAACCAGATCCTCAAAACCCAAGTTCTTCAAAACTTTCAGCTAAAAGGGTCTCAAGATCTTAACTTCCCCACCAAACTAACACAACAAAAAGCTTCAATTCTCACCTAAAACTAAAAGGGTCTCAAAATTTTAGCTTTCCCTACCAAATCAACACACAAAAATCTCAACTTTCACTAGTCAAACTTCAACCAAGATCCAATTTTTATAAATGATTTACCCAGAAATCAAGAAAACAAGCAAGTGGGTTCCCTTAAATCCTTGAAAACTCCAATACCACCTAACAAAAATCTCAGATCTCACAAACCCCAATTCAATTTTCAAACTTTTGAGCTAAAAAGAACAATAAACCCTGAGGTTTTTGCAAAAGGGAAAGCTAAACAAATTGAAATTGAAGTGTTTATAGATGAAAAAGAAGATCTGAACAGAAATTTAACGCGTGAAGAAACCCAATTTATATAAACAAGAGAAGAGAAGAGAAGCAAAGGTCAAAATTGGGTTCATGGAAACTTCCCTACTATGCACATTACTCTTGTGAATGTGTGTATTATTTTGACCTTTTCTTGTTTTTCTAAATTGTCCAAAATCAAGAACCCACTTTGGAATAAACAAAATGGGATTTTTAAAATATATTTTGCATATTATAAAAATGTCATCTTTTGTAACAAATGCATA